TGGACAAATAAGGCCATTTTCACTTTAACTTTTCTTTAAAATACACCAACACTAACAGTTGGTGGTGGCATTCTATCCTAAGAATAACAAGTTATCATTTTACCTGGACTTCAATATTGTTTAATTTGCCATCTTCATTATGAGTTTGCATGTAAAACATTGTAATGCCTTTGGTGCCCTGATACAGATTAATAACAATCCAAATTATTACAATGTTGAAATAAAAAGATTTTCACACCTAGCACATATGGAGAAATTAAAATTAGACTTGAGAAAGTGGCACAAGTTTTGACTTTCTTTCTACTTCTATCAAGAGTAGACTAGAAAACCAAGAGGAAATCTTTTAGAGCAAGGCCAAGATAAAACATCAAATTGAGCCCACATCTGTTGCAACGTTAATGAAAGAAACAACTCACAGGTACAGTAGATCCATCAGGGTTCTGGACTCTCCCAAGAGTGAGTGTCATGTCTGCATCAGTAGCTGAGCTGAACCACTTATAACCATACAGTCTGTAGGTGTCATCGTCTTGAGGGACAGCAATTGTCTCTGTACCATTTGCTGCAAGGCAAAAAGACACTCATCACCACCAACATAGGAATGTAGATTGGATAATGAATAATAGTGGGTGGCAATAATCCACCTATTGTGAGTCGAGGCATGATACTTGACCCTTTACCCTTAAGAGTGACTGGCTTCTAATTACTTATAACGGCATCAACCTTGAATCAAACACAGAGGTCACAAGAATAAAGGAAATGATCACTAATTTCAGAAGCTCCTGATTGTCAATCAAATTCTCCTGGTCAGTACCATAGGAAATGTAAAGAGAACAGAGTGGAGAATATAATTATTGATGTGAGGGTGCAAAGGTTCAAAATCATTATTAATGGAAAGATGAGCAGCACTGGGCAAGAAGAATTAAATTCTCAGTTTACACATAATTATTTAAAAAAAATGATTCCAATAGATAATCTAGACTCACCTACATCTGAGCCCCCTTTCCTCTCAGTCATCCACTGACCAGATGTCCAGAATTTCTTTGGATCTCTGCTGGTCAAATGGCTGTAGGCATCTTTAAGAACACTAAGCTTCTCTGTCATATTTGACAACTGAATGTTAAAATATAGGGGAAATTACAACAAAGTCACAATGTTTTTCCATCTCCAACAAATTTGGAACAGAAAAGAAAATTGAATTTCTTTGAAGGAACGCTGGCTGCTTGTTATACACTGTATACTGTAAAATTGTGCTGAATGAACCATGAGTTGAAAAGGGTAATTCAGAACAAGTATGCTTAACTACAGAATGTTCATCATGAATAAAGGAAAGAAAGCTAAAAATGGCATCTTCAATTAAACCAAATGGCTGTGCATGTTGAACTTTCTAGTCAACCACATCCATCACTGAAGCTGGGCCCATTAACTAATTAAACTACTTTACCACAGCCAGTTAACTATTGATCAATGAATAACATTGCAAAATGACTGACAACTATTGTAGCTCACACACTTAATCCACTAAAACCTTATTTCACTGAAGAGAACAAAGTGTCTTCAATACTTAGGGCTTAAATTAGGCAAACTGGCTTACGTATACCATTATTTCAAATCTAAGCATAGTACATGTACCTCAATACTCTTAGCTGCTCCATCTGTCATGGCCAAAGGACAAGAATACAAACCAGAAGAAGGAGAAAACATGAACAGTTTCGCAGCTTGGTAGATACGACTGAGAATAAATAAAAATCAACAATGTTGAAGTTTTAATGACGCCTTTAGCTACCTACACAGATAAAATATAGCATGTCAGTTCTACGCACTTGTGTAATCAACTGACTTTGACTAATTTCTATGAAAACAGAAACTCATTTTTACCTCCACTGTCCATACTTTCTTTCATAAGGAATGGATATCAATCCTTCTTCAGCTGACACATCATGTAACTGTCTCCACCCCTGGCAAGTCTGAATATTGTCCACCCTTTTTCCCCAAGCATCAAATTGTTCAAGTTTTGGTGGCTGTAGCTCACATTCCCTTCCCATTGAGTAAATATCAGTGGCCACTCTGTGGCCAAAGTGCTGTAAGTCTGGAAAGATTTCTTGTAAAACCTGTGTTTAAATAAGTCCAGTTTCATTGAGCAACGTTGTGAGCAAAATTAAGAAAAACCTTTTATCTGTTTAATTTAAGTCTACAGAATCTCTTTTGCAATCATGAAGAATGCTCAACAGGTTAATCAGTCCCAGCAATCATGATGTCCATCCACCTTCATTGAAATAAATCAAACTTCTTGATAATATGTATTTATTAGAATTATATGTGCAAAGTGTGATCCATCTTGGGTGCAAGTAGTTCTTTTCACTTAAGTAAAAGTGAGGGATGTTTTAACACCCTGAGGAGAGGTCATCTCTAGGGGGCTTCTATCACACAGACTACAGAATACCACCCCCACTTAACCATATCACCCCTTACAATAAAACAACTTAATGTTGTGTGATATGAATTAGCTGTACTACAATAGTCCCATGCAGCCATATGGAATATTCTCTAGATACTTATGGGAAGAGGAAATTGCGTGAAAAAGAGTACAGTCCATTTTGTGATAACTAACACAAGTGAGGTTTAAAACTCTTTTAATTGTGCAAGCTGTCAAAACACCAACACCAGACACAATCACAAAATTTACAAGCAGCTAATGCGGAAAAAGTCAATGCTCCCTGTAGGAAAAAACAAGATTTAAAAAGAACAGATTACCCCTTCACACTCTGACATCAGTTTGAATATTCTCCAAACTGTTCCTCATAAATTTCCTAAGCATAGTTACTAAAAAAAGGAATGACCCAAATTGACCTAAAATGACCTTGAGTGATTTCTAAAATGACCTTAAGTGATGTCTACAACGACCTAAAATTACCTAAAATAACCTGCCTGATGTATTGACCATCCTTGACCTAATATGATAAAAAATAACCTACTCTGACTAAAATGATGCAAAGTGACGTTTAAACTTTACGGAAACAATTTGAAATAGTAATTGACAGCAATATACAACAGAAAAAGAGAACTGAATGATGCGAGCTGGGTGCTTACCTTTGCGGTTTCACCTAATAGTATGCCACTTTAGATCACTTAGAACACCTTAAATCATTGTGCTACTACCAGCTACTATTGTGGAACTTTTTAGCTAAGCTTAAAACGCCATTTTTGGTTGTTTTAGACATCAGTCAAGGTTATTTTAGCTTTTGTTTTTTATTTTAGGTCATTGTACACATCACTCTTGGAAGGTCATTTTAGGTCATTTTTTTGATTTAGTAACTATGATTTCCTGAGTTGTTGACAAGGAGAATTTCTTCAACAATCTGGAGATTCTTTAATTTTTTTATCAATTCTTTTATCATTTTCTTTATTCTCGTGACTTAAGTGTGTGATTCAGGGGTGATACTGTATGGAGAATTTGAATTCTAGTCATTATTAGAGGTTAAAGGGTTAAAGATTAAAACTGCACAATTTCGCAGACCAATCACTATTGTGTTCATGTTAATTATCATTTACCTCATATGGAAGGACTCTCTTCAAGTACGATTGCAGAAATAGATCTCCACTGAATTGATTTCCAAGCCTTGGCGCTTCTTGAAAGAAACTTCCTCTCTTAGAAGCGGCAAATTTAGTATCCCCTGCAACTGAGCTATCTAACATATCGCGGTTGTCCAAATCAAGGGATTTTTCTGCGCTCCTTAAAGTGCTTTTCCATGCGATCAAATTATTTGGGAAGAACTTCTTAGGTGTTATTTTAGCCCTGATCATCTTCACATAAACTTTAACAGTTCGCAAGGCGATAGCAAAAGTCGATAGAGAGGATTTTCTTGTACACTATAGCTCAACCGCCATGTTTATTATTTACTGCTTAGGAACCACGCTTTCACGAAACTCGCAACTTGCGTAACATTGCGCAACTTCTACAATGACGGGAACTTGAAAACACGTAAGTTGTCGCAGTCAATTTCACCCATCATTTCTAAATATTCTACTCTAAGATTTATCTGATCCTCCTTTCTTTGTTCTTCTTCAGATTCACTGCTGAGACAGTCTCGGCAGAGTTATTGTAGATACAATAACCACCGCATTGAGACCATAATCAAGAGGAGGTGGGTTTGGGCAACAGGGCGTTAAAATTTTATGTCCCAATAAAGGGTGGCGTGGTAACAGCAGTCCCAGAGACTAAAAAATCTTGATTTCATCAGAAAAACCAGATTTGGGGGTGTACTTCTCATAATTGATAGGGCAAACTGAGAAAAGTGGGAATGGCAGTTCTGCAAGTAACTGCAAGGGAGTTCATTTCTACAGTCACCATTTCGACGCAAGAAAAACTTTTGACAAAAGAAGATTCAACACGTTTGTAAATTCAAGTTATCTTATATTCAAGATTTATTTCCATAGTTCATTGAAAATGTAGATCAAAAATAAAACCGTGTTTGAAAGGTAACAGTTGACGATGGACGTAATATGCCAAGTGAATATGCATTGTAGAGATAATAACGAGCATTTTGTTAAGAAAAGTTCAACATTTGTGTTCACCAGTAAAACTACCTAAAACCAACTAGATGCGCTTTTTTTCAAAAGTAACGCAGAAAAAACACATCTCAGTATGTTTGTCAACAGGAACGCAATTTGTAAACGCAATTACCTGATGCCTTTCATTACAACAAGATCTAGCCCTTGTGTAACTTAATTAGACAACTCAGCCTTGGAGTAATTTGTGAAGCATTTATAAAATTTCAATCAAATCCATCCATTGGTGATTTCCCCCAAAAAATAAATATTCCGGCCAATGTGACCCATGCTGGGTATAACTAGCTCGACGGCACTTGCTTACTAAAAAAATAAAAATTTGCGTTCAATAATTCTGGGCACAGCCTCAGTGTTCACTTGAAAATTTATAAATATTGCGCTTAATCGTAAAGCGCTCTATTTTTCTTTAACAACACAAAAACAACCAATCGCAATTAATTAAAGTCATCGAACTGAAGCATAAAAATTTCATCAATTTTAAAAAATT